CAAAACGGCCTTGGGTCAGTCAACTAAGCCAGCTCCTTTTCTTTCTATTTTCAGCTCGAAGCTGCCATTGATCAGTCTGTCCACGCTGCTCTGCTCTGCTTCTTTGTCTCGATCTGAACGCACGCGGGGAGCAGAGAGGAAGAGACGAAGAGAGGGAAAATGAGCTATGGGCTGAGAAAGCCATGGGCTGGGCCAAGATTAAACAAAATAAGAGAAATAGGCCAAGGAAGGAAAGGAAGGGAATGGGCTCAGGCAGAACGAGCCGGGTCAAACTGGCTCGAATCTTCTTCTTCTTCTTTATTTATTTTTTAACTATATTTTTAATTATTACATTTTTTATAATTAGAAAAAAAAATGTTCCAATAGACCCTATTAATGCAGATGCACCTAATAACTATATGCCATGCAATTTTAATGAAAATATTTTTGTTCAGGGGTTAAAAATTAATCCCTAATTTTCTATGCAGTTAAATCCTAAATAACCAGGCAAAATTTAGGTTTCAACACTACTATGTTCAGATCCAACGTACCTGAGATCGTAGGTGCAAATATTGTCCACACATAGCTTAGGAACACAGAGGGGATGGTCACAAGGTAAGGGTCGGTCTGATTGTGATTCACTTCCGCCGAAATTTCCTTGCTTTATATTGAAGCACCGGGTGCATCCTTCACATTGCATCCAGGTGTTCGGACTACCTGTATCCACCATTAAGGTCGGAGCATATGGACGTGTTCCGACTGAAAAGGTGGTCAAGTAATAGCCGTAAGCATCCCTAGTGACCGGAGGTTGTAGTGTATTTTGGGCTTGTTCTCCTGAATCCTTCCAATCCATTAAATTGGAAGAAGCCATCGATTCGAGTCGGTGTACACGAGCTCGAGATATCTCGGAGATCCTTTCGTATCTTTCTTTGAGGGTGAGGTTTTCTGGAAAGAGCGTGGTGTCAAACCTGTCTATAGGGATGAGATTCATGCTGAAACCATAGGATCCAGAGGATTGGGTGGTAATGAGAAAGCAAATGAGGAAATTCAGCAGAATCAGACGTGATGTTGTCATTGTCTTTTGAGTTTTTGGTGGTGGTGTTTGCATGTACTTTAGAATGGATTTTATAAAGATCCCTCGTGCTGCTATAATCTTGCCTTTCTCGCTCCTAATAAATCATATCGAGACAAAATTAAATGCAGCAGCTCATGCAGACCTGGTAGAGATATACCGGATTTTCCTCTAGATATACAAAGTAAATACAAAAGGTTCATGATAAACATGCATTTAAAATTTCCTTTTTCAAAGTTTAACCGAAAACCTAGCTACCCCGCCAGTCATAGAAGACGACAACCTTGAATAACTAAAGTACAAACGAGCACAATTTGTTCTGATTGTTATGCATAATATTGATTTCTTACACATTATAATTATTCAAGAACCATACAGCAAAAACATTTACCTTCTCTAACTGCACCTACTATATTATGAATATAATTGAGAAGTAATTCAAATACTTTTTTGACATGGGAGACGATTGTCTTCAAGATTACAGTTTGGTTTATTATTCCTTGATATAGGATTTTTAGGTAGTTTTCTTAGAGATTTAAAATAGTTTTAGTTCCAACGCTATTCGTATTGGTGTTGTTCTCTTTTGCAAATAGTTTTGGACGTCGAATCAGAAATAAAATCGGAAGTTTTTCTCCACGAGCTTCATGCACGTTGCACTTCGTGCAGGTTGCAAGTGTTTACACATGTGGCGAACTGTGATTTGCATTGTTAGAGATATATTTAGGAGATTGTAGGAGATTCTGTATATTTCACTTGATTGGTTATGATTGATCGTAATTAATGTTGTGCTACTTGAGATGGTTATCCTGTAAAGCCTATATATAAGCTCGTTCACCCTTCATTTGAAAATGAGCAGAATATTACATTTTTCTATCATCTCAATTCTCAACTTGCATTGTTAGACGTTTTTCCGTCCGCATCAATTTTCAATCCACATAATTGTTTTTCTATCTGACGCACATAATCTTTTGGAGAAGCAACTGGGTCATCCATCACATTGCATCCATGGACCGTCACTATCCATATCCAAATATTAAATAGGGAGCATACCAAATGTGAGTCAATGACCATGTACGTGATAATATAACATGAGTCAAAATTAATATGATCATGATGACTCTTTAGTGGGGCGGTCCATATGAAGTGGTTGCAAATTGAATGGAATGTTTCCTAGTCTAATCTACCCTTACATGTTTGTTAATTAATGTATGCTTGTTTAACCTGAAATCTGCAAACTTGTGTCTAAGAATTTGAGCTACATACATTGCCACATATAGTTGATAAGAAGGGACAATTCTTTTATGGAATGGTTCATGCTTTTTCCTAGTTCTTCCCGTTGCAAAGCGCACCTTAGTCTCGTATTCGATAAATAGCAGTTCGCCCTATTAATCCTTCAGGCCCAAATATCTCAATTTTCTTTCATGAACTAAGCTTTATGTTTTGTCAAGAAGGCAAAGAATAAACAGTGTGCATATGAAGAAATGAACTTAAGGAAAAGTTGTCTTTATTGGATCCTTATCAATAGCAAATCTAGAAGAGAAGTACACATAGAGGACCTTATAAGTTGCTGTCTTTAATTTATTGCCTTGCTCGATCTATTTGATTCTCAGTTGGGTCCACAGATTTCGGGTCCAAAAACGACGGTTAATGCTGTAAAATCAAACAAGAATCGGAAATTTGCTTGTTAAAGTGCTCCAAGTTTGCTGGGCCCGGGGTCATTTATGGGCATCACCATTAAGCAAAAGCTTGCATCGAAGAACTGAAAAACATTTCTCTCGGGGAGATGAAGAGCAGTTGTGCTTCCCCTTTCGAAATGATATGTCAGGTTTGGAGCTGTGAAATTCCGATAAGGTATGCTGTAGCACAAATCCAATTGGTTTGGCTGAGGATGGGGAGGATGCCAAGTATATGTCCTGAGGAAATATTCGACTATTTCCGCTTTTACGATGTCATAGGCAGTTGGAACAAGAGCTGTATGAGGAATTCCTGAGTCCAAAATAAACCCGCCCGTGTGGTCCGGTCTCATCCGAAAAACCGGCGGTTCTATGTTTAGGCGCTTGTTGTTGATACTAATACCAATCACTTCAACCGCGTACTGAGTAACATTAGGAATCAATCTCGTCGTCTGCAACGTAGTACGTCTAGTCTGCCTATTTGTGCGTCATCTCCGAAATGGAGATATGTGAAAGGGACGTGGTTGTCAAACGGCAAGCAGTACGATATGCGGTTTTTAGTCTCATTAACATATTGCATAAAGATAGACCGCTTTCCCAATCCCAAGTCAAAAATCCCAGCTATATTGTTATATTGTCCTCTCTTTTCCCAATCCAAGTTGTTATTATCTAGGCCGCAACCAAACACAGTGTGGGGAAATCTTTTGGGAGATCCCCAATCAATTACGGTGAAGGTGTCCGATCCGACCTGCCCTATGCTATAGCAATCACCATATCTAGATCCAAAGCACCTATGTTTGTACATACAAAAGTTGTTTTGACATAAATGAGGAATGCAAAGAGGATCATGACAAGGTAAGGCCCGGTATGATTGCGATTGGCTCCTATTGAATTTACCTTGCCTATTGAAAAAGCAACGACTGTATCCTTCACATTGCATCCATGTATCCACACTACTCGTATCCACCACCAAGTACAGAAAATATAGATGTGTGCCAACTGATGGGCTGGTTAAGTAATAATTGAGACTGCCCTTAACGACCGGAAGTTTTAGTTTTGCATTGGGGTATTGTTGTATTGACTCATTCCGATATATTGAACTTGTAGAAACCATGGATTCAAGTCGGTACACATGAGCTCGAGATATCTCAGAGATTTTTAGGTATCTTTCTTCTAGGATGAGATTCTTAGGAAAGAGCTTTGTGTCAAATCGGTCTATGGGGATAAGTTTGATACTGAAACCATAGGTTCCGAAAGGCTCAGAGATGATGAGAAAGAAAACGAGGAAACTGAGTAGGGTTAGGTCTGCCATTGCCATCGTTTTTGAGTTTTTGGTTGTGTTCGCATGTGCTTCAGAATTTGATCTTATAAGAACCCTTCCCAGGTGCTATAATTCTTCTTTTCTTGCTCCTAATAAATTAGGTTGACCATAAATTAAATGCAACGGCTCATGCACAGATGGTAGAGATATATCGGATTTCCTCTTATTAATACACTCCAAAAATAACACTCCAAAAATAAGGACAATCACATTTATGATCCATATTTACTGTGAAGATCTCATTTCTCAAAAGTCAACTTATCTTGGACCTAAGAACAAGAAACAAGTAGCCAATGCATGTTGTCAACTTCTTAGAGTGATAAAACATAATCACATTGCACAAATAAAATACAAACAAGTATCCATTGCTTACTTCTCATAAAAATATAAAACTCTGCAAGTTATATCCAAACATATCCTTCTCAGCCTTCCATTGAATTCTCAATAGATCTTTGTACCTCTACCTTTTCAAAGGCCTCTCATAATTTTAAAAAATTAAAATAATCAACTCATGGTATTGATGCAATTGATTGGGGCATTAGGTGATTTTCAGGCCAGGAAATGAAGTTATCAATTGGAATCTCACCAATTGTATGTAAATTGTTTTAGGTCAAGTCCACGTGCACTAGTTAAAAGTCTGGAATTAACCGGTCATGAAACTTGCAAGGTGATTCATGGGTTTCCAGGTAGCCGAGTCTCCCTACCGATGCCCCTAAATTATCAGAAAAAAAAAATTATATGAATAAAAAGGCAATATGACTCGAAGAAAGTTGAGTCTTTCAGTACATGTATAGGTTTCAAACTGAATCGATTCTTGGTTAGTCTTTCCAGTCACAGCTTTAATTACCGAAAGTAGTTTATTGATGCATGTTTGTTTGATTACATTGGTTAACTATAAGGGAGATGAAATCTCATAATGGAGGAATATTATCATTCTTAAATTGCCTTATCGATTCACATATCATTCGTAAATGTCATCTCTTTCATACTCGACTAGTCACTTTCCATTTCCTTCCAAATGACTTCAACTTTTCATCCCAAATTTTGGGAGTAGATAACAGGTAGGATTGCTAGATAGCTTGCCCTCACTTGTACTCTCAAAAAGCCTCTTAACATGACCTAGCATTCACTACTCCTATACAGCACCAGATCCTAGTAGTCTTTAGTTCATCACAAAAACATGAGCAGTCCAAAAAATGCATCAGTTCCCTCTATTTTGATGTGCTCTCTGCTTCTTTCTCTAGGGTCACAGAGAAATCTTGAGTCCTAGAAACAAAGCTCATCCTTGTAGAGAACGAGTCATCAGTCGTGGCGCCATTGTTATTAGGCCCAGCTCTGAGAAGCATCTCCTCATCCCCAGGCACATTGTCCTTGTACTTGTACCAATTGGCCCAGAACAAGTAATTCACAAAGTTGAGCACACTGAGGATGGCCAGGAACCAATAGAACCGCTCTGCGTGGTTTGCGTTCATGTCCCTCCCCTGTAGCCACCCTCTCTTGCTCTTGCCCAACCCCTGGGTCACCGTGTCGATGAGCCTGACGAACACTGAGTTCAGGTAGTACCCGATCGACAGAGAGAGCCAGGAGAAGGAGGTTGAGAGCGACCTCATGCCCAGGGGGGCCTCCCTGTAGAAGAACTCCATCAGGCCCACGAGCGTGAACATGTCGGCTATCCCGAAGACCGCATAGTGGATCGAGAGCCAGAAGAGGCTGATCCTGTGGTTATGTCGGAGGAGCTCATGCTTTCTCTTGACCTCCACAAGCCCGGCGATGCCCATCGAGATGGCCGAGAGGACAAGCCCGACCCCGACCCTCTGGAGGTGGGTGATCCCATTCGGGTGGCCCGTGAACCTCCGGATGATGGGGACAAAGGCGAACTCATAGACGGGGATGAGAATGGACATGAAGACTAGAGGGATGACCGGGATCGAGGCCGGAGGGACTATGAAGTGGCCGAGTTTTGTGTCCATGAGGGTGCCTTGTTGGACTGAGAGGGTCTGCAATTGGGCCAAGCATGTGTTCATGAGAATGGTGCTTAGGAGGATTGGCATCATCCTGGTCAGGATCTTGACTTCCTCCACTTGGGTCACTGTGCACACCTTCCATTTCGCTGGGTCTGTGCCCTTAGGGAGGATTGCTGCTTTGTCTAAAAACCTTGTCATGCACAAATTTTACTCATTAATGTAAGCAAGAGTGATTGATCATGAGACAACAAGATCGATCTTGGAGATTTTCGTGCCTCAAGGATCTCTTGGGTCGTGAGGCCAAAAGAGGGCCAGATTAGAACACTACAATTCATGCCGGGGCATTGTGTCAGTGTTTGTAACTTGTGTCATTGTGTATCAATATTCATGTCGATTTGGAATCAATCGATTCCGTGATTGTATCGTGGATTGGGGCGTTAGAGAGGACCAACCCGAATTGAGATGTGTGGGGGATGAGCTCTCTCCTGACAGACTTGCGATCTCGCACTTCGTACAGCTCGTCTGCGGTCTTTGGCACCTCCGTTCTCCAGTTCTTCACTGCCACCACCAAAACCTGCGCAAGAGTTTCAACAGTTTCCAGTGAAACATTGTTTCTCCACTGCAACTTTGTTGTCTTGTTTCACACACTAGGAGGACATGAACCATCTTATACGTATGTTCAAATGGAAAGGTGCGGCATACCCGTAGGTAGCGACCAAATTAAATGTTTTACACCAAAGTTATGCAGTGATCTAGCCAATGACGGTCTAGAAAAATTACGAGGGAAGACGAGCAATGCCTTGCCTTCTACTTGTACAGCGACGACCTTTTTCTATAATTAGCCCAATTGACTAGTAGTACAAATGCGCGAGTGCGCGAGAGAGAGAGAGAGAGAGAGAGCTGCATACCTGAACGACCCTCAAGAGCGGGCTCTCTCCAGGCACACGGACCCTATAGAACCTCTTCCCCAAGGCCACGAACACAATCCCGAAAAAGACACAACAGAGCGAGACCGCAAATCCGACATCCCACCTCACCTCCGTGCTCAAATACACCACGAAGGTCACTCCGAGGGTGGCTCCAATGGTGATGCTGAGCAAGAACCAGTTGAAGAAACTGGCAATGTCCTTCCTCTCCTTTGGATTGCGGTGGTCGAATTGGTCAGCCCCCAGTGCAGGGATTGAGCCTCTTATGCCCCCTCCTCCAAGGCCCATAAAGCATATTGACATGTAGAACAAGAGAGCCTTCGAGCCATGAACGCATGACGATTCCGCACATGGCGCGGGTTGGAGGTTCTTGTAGTGGGATTGGATGATCACCAACAGATATCCCTGGAAAAAATTGGAATTCGATGACTTCGGTAATAGGTCTCTAGCTGGTAAAGAAAATACTTTCATGCAGTACAAAGTTCAACTTAACATTCTCGATTACTAATTTAGTTCCTATACAGTAAGTTGACCGAAACTCGGCTAGGCTTGATCTGTGCAGATTAAATGGGACTCACTCATCAAATTGTTCTGGTTTTCTGGAGATAAATTCATATAGGTGCACTCTTGTTAACTGAGAGTGTGTTGAGAATGTACAGGTGTGGAAAAGTTACCACCAGCTCGATAGCGCCGAAGAAGAGGGCGGTGTTGAGACGAGTCATGTAGGTGTCCGAGATGAACCCTCCGATGAGGGTCAGCAAGAAGGTGGTGCCTAGATAGTTGGTCGTGGTGGTGGAGGAGCCGGAGAGGTCGAACTTCAGGACAAACATGAAGTACAAAACCAGGCTTGCCATGTTAGCCACAAAGCCTATGTTGTCCAGGAGCATCATGGCTGCAACAAAAGCAATGTTTGAGGATTGTGTTACCTGTTCAGACATTCGATGATCACCATTTGCCAAAAAAATTGAACTTACCAAATATGAAATAGGTGGCCTTGAATCCACCATGTCCTGAATTCTTCATAGGTTGGTAAGCCAGTTCCTTGGCCCCCGCCACTTCTTCGTCTAACCCCTGCATATATTGTTGCAGCATAACCAAAATGAGGAATGCCAACAGGACTCCCGATTATTCTTATGACTATCCTAAGAAAATTTGGGCTGGTTAATACGAATTATTTTGGCCACTAAATTGAGTTGACTGTCCGAATTGACATAATAGTTCAGTCTAGTAGGCCCCACATGATGAGATCCACATGATTCAACGAATGTGACAAACTGAGCGCACATGCATGTGGGTCAACCCAAAACGGCTCATCGAGGTCGCATACACAATGGTCGTGACATGATTTTGCAATTCGATATAATAAAAAAATGCATTATTGAATTGCAAAGTAGGTATCTCTGTCTCATCCCTCTGCTACATATAATGAAAGTAGATTACCATGGTCTAAGTATTGCTTGAAGCGAGCACTTTGCTAACAAGGTGAGAATTGGGGTGGGAGTGAGATAACAAATGAAGGGTCCTTTATATATAATGACCGAAACGTGCAGGGATCATTTATAATAATGAAGAAAAGTAATGCCGTAGACTAAACATAAGACACATGCGGCCGATCGAACCGGCCTAATTAACACATGCCACACTAAAATCTGTCACCAATCAACATCTCGTAGAACATCGATATCGTGACACAGTAACGCAACGCGATTTCTTTATAACGTAGTGATGTGGAATAATGAGGCAGTCACCCTATATGACAAGTGAAAAAGGGGCACTGCTTGACCGATTGAACAGGGTTGTGCTTGTGCACACAAAGGACTAAGAAGATAGTTCCAAGGTGACCCTGATTGAGAGATTTTCGCACTTTTGTGGGGGCGTAAGATTCCGGTGCTAATTAGCGGCAAAGCAAAAAGATTCCGCGATACTTAATTTGTTTAAATTTTTGTAGTATAGTCAATTGCAATGGCGTTATGTATACATGCTAGAAGGCCACGTGTATGAAGGTGGCGGACTGCCCAATACCCGATGGGCATAATCGGATGGAGACAAAGATACAAAGTGCGCTTTTTGTCTGCTCCGATAGGGCCTTCCCAATACAAAATTTGAACTTGGGATCTCGAGATCTTTGCATGAAGATGTTCCGTTCTACACTGCAAAAGGCATCTTAATCTTGTCACTCCGTCATATGTATAGACACGTAAAGAGAATTCAGCTATTTAGAATCTGTGCTATTTCAAGAGTCAAAAGAAAAAGGAATCATGGCACAAATGGTCCCTGAATTTTGATCTAATATGTAATGTGGTCAATGAATTTTTAATTTATTCAATGTGGTTCCTGGACTTTACCCTAATATACAATGTGGTCCCCTGAACTTTTAATTTGTTCAATATAATCTCTCAACTTTTGATACATGTTCAGTTAAATCCTTGAACTATACGAAAATGCTCAATGTTGTCATTCCATTAATTCAAGTTCATGGACAATGTTAAACATTTTCATATGATCAAGAAACTAAATTGAACATGTACTAAAACTCTATGAATCAAATTAAATAAATTAAAAGTATTAAATAAATTATAAATTCATGAATCACATTATACATTAAGTTAAAGTTCAGAAATCATTTGTGTCATTTTTTCAAAGAAAAAAGAGCTGTGATATGCTGTCTCGGTTGGTTTATTTTAAAGCCATGACATGACAAGTAAACACTGACCAGTTCAATTCCAATAGGAAGGCAACCTACCTACCACAGACTCTCGGCATGGAGCGACGAAGCTTTTCTGTCCGAGGCCTTGTGCATCCAATGGCGAAGACTCATTCGTTTCAGACGGCGCATGATTAGCAGACCAAACCATGAGGCAGCACCGGTTATTCCCTTTCGACAGGACACGATGTTCTGTTGTGTCGCTGAGCAATCGATTCAGAATGCTAGGAATTATGTTTTGATCGAGCTATGTGGGTTTCGATCAAATAGCCAAGATGTGTCTGAGGAATCTTCAATGACCGGCACCGATGCTACACTGTGATTGTAACACTCCAAAACCCGTATCGAATGTGAGAGAATTTGTCGTGAATAAGGATGCGCCTACAAATGACCACCACTTGAATACTCCATGTGTCGGGTCGTCCGCGACTGTTGTATGATCAAGACATTAGGATGGATACGCATTGAAAGACTCGATTCCGGATTGAAATCCTAGCCTTTGCCGAAATGACAAGCCGACCAAATTCACCAAGCCCATCACGAGTTCATATAACAATTTTCCTAGACATTGACTTGAAGCTCAATGTAAGAAACAACTCCGTTTTGACAGGGTTTTCGCCTTCATTAAACGATAGCGGTGGAGTTAGATGGTTTTCTCAGTGGGTGCAACCAGCAGAAATGGAAACTTAAATGTTAGATTTTTGCTATGGGAAACGAGCAAGCCGATATGCATAATTGATGAAGTTAGGAATAATTATTAGAAAAGTCTTAAACCTATTGTACCAATATCAATTCAGTAATAAACTTTTCAATTTAACAATTTAGTCCTAAACCTTTTTAACGATTTGCCAATGTTGTCGATAATAAAAATATTTTTTATTGACTAATTATTTCAGGCGATATGTACTATCATATTAAAAAAAAAGTTTTCCAAATCATTCATTTTCCATAAAACAAACAAAACCTTAAAAAGATAATCCACTATCAAGAGGGAATTACCATTGCCCAATGACGGCTTATGGCGGCCTGAAAAATGGAAACTTATCTATGGGAGAATATATATTATGCATGCCTCAATCGGCTTACGCCATGCATTCTAACATATACTGTACTTATGTGGATTCTAACGAAATCTCGAGTTAAAATTGCTTTTTTTGCCTTGATGACTCGTCGGACCTGAACATTGTGGTAACGACAGCACACAAGCACGGAGAGTTGAGCGAGAGTGGCCATGTAATGCTGCAGACTTTCGGGACACAAGGGAACGATTAGGCCTAACACTAGGCTAAGATGCTTGAAGTTACCGGCGTCGAAACCCTAGAGAGAAAAGAGAGGAACGAAACCGGTGAGGCTTAGGCTCAACTCGAGTCAACATCAAACACAAGTATATTATTTGTAGTCGATCACTGAACTTGCTCTCCTGGAGCTGACGACTGTATTCCTTCAACTCTAGCAACACAATGCTTGGAATGGTTCCTTCATCTAGAACGAGGCAGGAGAATTACCAAAAAAGTCATAAATCTATTGTAATTGTGTTATAAACCTTTTTTTTTTCCAATTGAGTCCAAAACCTTTTTCATTTATGCTAATTCAGTCCATCCCGCCAATTTTTGCCTCAAATCATTGATATGGACTCCAGTCATCCTACATGGCACGGCCGGTGATATTTAAATAATTTTTCAAATTATCTATGTATTTTTCTTTCTTTTCTTTCTCTTTCTTTTGCTTTTTCTTCCCCCTTCCTCTAGCTGGTCACCGAACCTAGGTGACCGGCCAAAGGTGAGGCTAACCTCGCCCTGCCGCTGGCAAGGCTTGCTGGCGATGGTGAGCCTCATCCGCCCCTGGCAAGACTCGACCTTGCCATCACTGTCATTAGGTTTAAGACTTTTTTAGTAATTTTCCCAGGGTGAGACAACCAGTCACTGGTGGGAAGGTTGATTGTGAGTGATGCGCCATGTCCGAGCCCCGAAGAGTTTTGGGGAAAATTGATCTGAGTTTTGAAGGTGAGAACCGACGATGAAGAAGCTCTTCGCTCCTTGTTATTAGTCTTCTTTTAGTTTTTCGTTTATGGTATTGTATCGTATCTCTCCTTTTGGGCTCTCTCCGTCGTATTATACAGCGAATTTGGAGAATTCTATGGTCCTGTAAGTTGTAACTGGATTTATGGACCGGTCCCGTAACTTGTGTGGGCAATGATATTAACCAACAATACGTTGGGTCAGAAAAGTGATAACTAACAATTCTCCCCGATTAGGACCGGAATCTACACAGGTTTGATGGTTCGTTCAGGCCCTCGAGAGATGATGTGTCACGCCCCGAAACCCCCGTCGAGCCTGCGACTTCCCGCTTCAGGTCGAACGGTTGCGACGTCCCAGGTTATCGCCGACCTCAACTAAACATCAGAGATTTAATCGCGCAAACAGAAACCATAAAACACCCGGACAAACTTAAACTGGGGAGAATTGGGAGAATATACATTTCCATTTCTTGTTCAACTTGTTCCACCATATATACAATAAAACAAACCTCTGACTACCAGTGCACACTTTACTGAAACTACCAAAATCAAAAAGGAGTCGATGACCTAACGTTCAACCTAAAAAATGGTTCTCATCTAAGGCAAGCTTTCCCACTTCTACAAACATGGTCGTCGTGTGTCTTAGCCAGGTCATCCCGTCACCCATCGGAAACTCAGCTACCTCATACTCCGTATGCACTGGTACTCCAAAACGTACTGGTGGCGGTAATGGAGGGTTCATCGCTCAGGTCGGGGTTATGAAAATTGTTGGTTTACACAATCATGAGATTATATCTCAGCAAGTTCATCCCTAAACCCAACCTAGGCTATCACGTACCTCCAGACAATTACACAGACACACGTGCATTCGTACACATCAAGTCATCACATCGCAGGCACCTCAAATAATATAGTCAGACTCAAACATGCGTACACCCGTACTCAATCACAATCACGCCGTATGAAACACACGCATGTACTAACTCTCATTCCACTATTCCTTCCATTCTCATTTCCTCTTTCTCATTCCTCGCCAGTGACCCGCGTTGAAGTACACGCCTCAGGCACATTGCGATCATTCACCACATCCGGCCCGCGTACCCGTTCACGCCTCAGGCCCCAATCGCGACCTGAGCATCACACGCCCCAGGCCCAATCCCAACTCAGCCCGCGCCAAATGCGACAGGCCTACATGATTGAAACCCGAGCTTAAGATGCCTCGGTCCAATCCCGGTCTCACCCGAGCTGATCGTGTCTCGGACCGATTCTCATACTTGCTTTTTCCAGCCTCAGCCTGTGCCAAATGCATCAGACCTACGTGATCGCTGCCCGAGTTTACGATACCCGGCCCGATCCCATTCTCGCACTACCACACCTTCGCATACTTTCCCACAATCACTTGTCACGCCACAACTTCTCCTTACTCATGCACATACTCGATATGCATTTACCACACGCAACTAGCCCATCACATGCGATCCGTGCACGAATTGAGTCACACGCAGACAGAGCTCACTCAACAATTCACATGGCCAATATCAACAATTAATTCGATCTGGCCCACGCATGCACCAAACAGACATATGTCCACTATATAAACACACAAATAAGCCCTCAATTAAATCAACCCCATCCAGAATAATTCAAACATGCCTAAAACACGTAAATTGCCAATTTTCTCCAACCAAATGGCGTCGGATTAATTCCGATCCTTCACGACACTTTCTCGCCATTAAATAACGGTTCTAAAAATTCAACTTGCGTCCTGAACAAATCATCACAGCCCCGTGAACAGTAATTCGCAGCTTGTGAACAGTAAATCACAGCTTGTAATTCACCTCAAATTGTCCTCCAAAAATTCCAAAAATAATCCTCAAGGCCCGCCACAACATTCCAATCTTAAACCCCAATATTTCGCACCCGCATATTGTCAATTTCACCCCAAATCAAATTATCCGTCGATACCCAATATCCTAAATCGGGATTAGAGTGTGACTTACCAAGTTCTAGGCTAAGTCAGCTAGAACGAGAAGCGGCGGCACTCAAACAGACACGGCGGGGACGGCGGCGAAGCTCGGCAACGGCGATCGGCTTGCGGCAGCGGTCCGGCTCTTGATTTGGGCTCACGGCCACTTGGGGGAAAGAGAGAAAAGAGAGAGAAACGGTGGCTGGTGGTGGTGGTTTGGGGCTGGTACGGCGGCTAACCGGCGGCTAGAGGGCGGTCCGGCATGCGGCGGCGAGTGGCGGCGCCGGCGTGGCTTCACGGTGGAAGAGGAAGAAGTTCACGGCAAAGAAAAAAGAAAGGGGGGGGGGGGGGGGAGGGGCTGATCGTGAAGATGAAGGAGAGAAGGGGGAGGAAGACCACATTCTTGACTCAAATAATATATTTTGACCAATTGCGGAAATGACCAAAACGCCCTTTACTCATATTTTTAATCCGACGGTCCCGATTCGATCTTATCTTGATTCGATGGCCGAGATCGATTCTTGCACAAAAATATCCAAGGGTATACTTGTAATTTCCAAAATATCCAAGGGTAAAATTGTCCAATCAAAATTTTAGGGCAAAATTACCAAAATGCCATGTACCCTTAAAGCTTGTCCTTTAATAAATCCTAGGGGTATTTTGGTCACTTTCTCCGTTTCTTGTCCAAATCGAATTTTTCCGAAGGAATTGAGCGCACCAAAAATTCATACGTGTCACGTGCAACGTCGTCCTAACATTCCGGCGTGACTTCCTAATTTTCCGGTGTCCAATTTGGGCAAAAATTCCATAATTAAATTCTATTAAACGCAACTCGAGCGTTTCTCGAGCTAACGGGCGGCTTGCTGCGGAAATTCACGAAATCGACTCATGACTGATACTAAATCGAGTCACGTGCAAGTCCGTTCGGTTCGTGACGACCTCGGTTGTCATTAAAATCGCGAAGATCCATCACTTGATCCGAGGGGTACGATCGTTCGGTATAATTTCAGAATCATTCGTCAAGTCGTTTCGTGGTCCAACGGAATCACCCGCGATCCACTACTAAGACAGTGGCGAACTGACCCCTAACTATCCTTGGATCGACCAACAGTGGCTCAAAATATCACTTCCGCGATTTAATGGTCGAAATCCATTCACGATCGAATTTCCTTTAGTCGCGCGAATTTAATTCCCCTATTAGCCTTTCCCTAATAGTTAGCATTCCCAGGAATGATCAGTTCCGGGCGAGAATTTACTGCGAGCACATATCATAAAACTCATTTACTCAATAAATTCCAATTGGTGGAATTTCGGAATGTCACGTGATGAATCCCTCAGTAGCGAGGAGCCCCACTATGGTATCCAAGAGGTCTAAAGCAAGGAGCGCTCACCAATCCCACGTCATGGAAAAGGGAAAAGGTAGAAAAGGGTCTCCTCGTTGTCACCAATTCAATTCCTGGATTCACTCTATCTATGCAGTTGCTAAGAGTAACGAGACTAGTTCCTCGATAGACTTTTAATCTAAAAGACTCGATCTTCTTTATGGCTGAAGGGGCCATTTCAAGGCAGAAAAAACCATGGTCTCGAGAGTTGTAGGTCGGTTCTTACAAACTTTTGGATTTTTAGCTTCTAATTTGCTTGTACAAATTGATCTGTAAACAATAGTATTGATTACATTGTTGGGGCAGTAGAATCGTATGTCTTTGTAACGATTCGAAGTTGGAGACATTTTTCTTCTGGAAAATATGCGCATTACAGATTGCTATTAGGATCATGTTAATGTGAAGAACTTTTTACACATCCACCTTTAAAATGGATGATATGTGGATAAATTTAGTTAACACAATTCGTGCAAGGCAGATGTGTAAATAGCGTTTTACATTGGCAATGGACCTAACAACAGTCCTTAGAATACTTGGCCTGGAAAAATATGTGGGAGTTGAAGTTACGCTTGCCCCAGCTGCTACAGCGTTGAGCCACGCATTCTCTTCGATCATCTTAAAAGGCTTAGTCTTGGGTCGACGAGATTCGTGGAAAGGTTAGGGTTTGATCGATAGCATTAATTCTTTTCCTCTCTCTCTACCTGGTCTACTCTGTCGTGTCAATACAGAAAGGAGGAAAATTCTCTAAAAATTTATAAACATAAACATTTTCATATTTTGCTAATTAAGTCCATCCAACTAAAATTGACAAAAAATCGATGACGTAGACGCCAGCTCTTCTACGTGACACGACTGGTGCTAACATGCACAATTTTTAATAATATTTCAATTTTTTTCGAATTATTTTTTATTTTGTTTATTTTTACTTTTCCTTCTTTACTTTTTTCTTTTTTTCTTTCTTTTTTTTCCTTTTCTCTTTTTTTTTTTTCCTTCCGTTGGCCATTGCCTGACCTCGACAATGACCCGCAATCGCCGGCCCCAGGTGAGGGCCAGCGAGGGCGGCCCAAACTAGCCTCGATGAGGACGACACTCGCCAGCCTAAGGGAGGATAGCCCTTGCCAGATCGGGCGGTCCTTGCCTGAGGCCGATGGAGGGAAAAAATAAAAAAAGGAAAAAGAAATGAAGAGAAAAGGAAAAAAGAAGAAGAAAAAAGTAAAGAAAGAAAAGAGAAGAAAAGAAAAAAAAGGGAAAAATGGAAAAATATTAAATTTTTATTAAAAATTATCCACGTTAGCATCGGGTATGTCCCATAGGACGGCTGGCATCCACATCAGCAATTTCTAATCAATTTTGGCCGGATATACTTAATTGACAAAATGTTAAAATGCTTATGATTCAATTGGCACAATTAAAATGTTTAGGGCTGAATTGACAAAAGTATAATATATTTAAGACTTTTTGGATAATTTTCCCTTGCAGAAATGTCATAGAGGACTCGATAGGGGAACTCTCTTTCAGCGAACGTATTTTGGCACGAGGTCAACGATCATGGGGCGTAAGACCAAAGCTAACAAATTGAGTATCATATATGACAATGGGACGTAAAAATGAAGCTAATCTCTGCGTCAAAAGGAGGCTACACGTCCAAGAAACAGAGCACTATAAAAACCAAAAGGAGACTCGATCACAGCAAGACACCACTATTCCCTCGTCGATCCCAACTCGTCCCCAACCCAGAAGAAGAGAGAGAGAGACAAAGAGAGAATGTATCCTGCTTAGGAATCGAGGTTAAAAGCTAGAAACAATGGTCCAATTGAAGAGTTGCTCGTGGGGGTCCGTAGGTATATTCATGGTTCCATCATGCTCCTAGTTTGTGAATCCGCAGTTTCTTCTTGACTATTCTCTTTGCTTTGTGTTTGTGAAACTTATTCTGATGCCCTTGAAGTACCATCATAAATTCTCTTCTGAATTTATCTACCTTCTTTGTGTATGTGTTTTCTTTGTTGGCCAGCCCATGATCGCATCATCGCAACCACTGATATATACAGTGGTTGGTATTAAGATGATGGATTGAATCGATGAATCAATCAGATCCTGTGTAGAAAGAACCCCAGCAGTACCTGATTAGATTATAATGATTTTATGTGATTAGAATGCTTAGTTGTGTTTCGTTTGACTACTTTTAATGCAGAATCAAAGGAGTCATCTCCTAATGGCCTCGCACCCTCCTCCATGGCTACTGGCATCAGTCCTTTCACCAAATCAGGCTGCCCATCTTTTGGCGGCGTATTCGGTCTCGACGGTCCGGTTCGACACCCTTTTGGTGGATTGAGCAGTCCCTTCGCTAATGATGGCATCTTCACCACCACTGCATTGGGAACCAGCACTTTCAGCAACCCATCTAGCGGACCTCCGATTATGCTGGCAAGCACGGTGCCTGCTCATAATTCCTCTGCAGCCCGATTCGGAACCCCTTTTTCCTTTTCGCGGAGCGCATCCATCTCGGGCACAATGTCAAGCGACACTGGGTTTTGCACTCGTGGCGCTGCCACGCCTGGAGGCGGGTCGATCTTTCTGCATAAGGATCACTTTCCTCAGCCACCCACATTCAGCTTCTCGACGCCAAACACCACCGCCACATTCAGGCCTCCGAGCTGCTCTACTGCTGATTGTGGAGCATTACCAGAGCCTGAAGCCTTTATAACTTCGACGTCTTTTGGGCCTCAGAAACCGACCACAACGGTGATGCATAATTTTTTCGGTTTCCCAAACGCCACATCAACTTGCTTTAATTCTCAACCCACCCCATTTTGGAACTCTCCCTTCAAAAGCTGCACCCAAAGAGATGGTGGAAAGATCAGCAACTCAGCTTCTCCCTTTGGTAAGTCCCAATTCTATACTCTGCGAGTTTGGAAAATCCTGTCCGAGTTTTATTCTCTCTCCAACTAAATTAAATGTTTGTGTATCGGAACAGGACCGCAGACCGACAGCCGCGGGAAAACCACAGCGCCTGACTATGCCCCAACACCGGCTCCAGAAGAAAGGACAAATGGAAAAGTTTACTACAAATACATGTCTATATCCGCCATGCCTTCCAATAAGGACAGGAGTCATGAAGAATTAAGATGGGAACGCCATGAATCGAAAGGTAAGACACAGCCCCCCGGACCTTTACAATGTCGGGACATGCGACGTCCTGATATATGCATTATCTTTCTAACTAGCTGGCCTACGACCATGAGAGCCGAGATTTCATGCAAACATTCAACAAATCATGTGCAATAATTGGAGTCCAAGTTTCCTGAAATCTCAACTACATTGTTAACCATGCACATCTCCAAAACCACTCAATCGATTTTTGACAAAAAAAAGAAACGACAATCATCACCATTGGCATAAGCCCATTTGCTTTTCTGTTCTGAACACAAACAAGCCCATTTGCTGAATGGTTGAGATCTGTTAAATGTTGAGATATGTTACATTTCAATCTAATAGTGAGAGAATGTGAGACCGCTTCTCCTGCAAGAGACTATAGTTTGACTCTTGCCATTTTACCTTTTATGGCCAGTTTTTGCATCTTCGACTTCATGCCCTGTGGCATGAGTCAATATAGGAAGAATAAATTGAATTACAATGTGCGTCCATATTAGGCTGCACGCCCAAGAAACCAGCGTAGATACTATAAAATGGAACACACTCAGATCAGAGCAAGAAACAACTCACTCATCAGTCATCCTAATTAAGTTTCACCCAGTGGTTGAACTAAAGAATTGCCCTTGTGGGTCTAATGTCATGTCACAGTTTACCAGTTTATAGTGCTGACAAAACTTTCTACTTTCCCGTGCAGAATCAAAGCAGGAGTCATCTTCTGAAGGGTTTGCTCCCTTTGCTGCTATCAGCAACCCATTCGCTACAAGAACCGCCACCAAACCATCCGTCAGCAGCGGCTTCGTCACACCATTTTCCCAACCTTACTGGTTCACACCGAGCGCAACGGCCTCATCTGGTGGTCCATCAAGCAACACCGCATGCAGCGTCACCAATCCCAGCGTCAGAGGAGGCTCAATCTGTCAACATAATGCCTCCACTCAACCACCTGCATTTAGTTTCCCGAACACCGCTGCCACTGCCTTTCATTTTGGACCTCCAAGAAATTCTGCCCCTGGTGGTGAGTCTACTAATGTCCCTAAAGATTCGGGTACCAAAAGACCCGGTGGTGGCTTCATACCTCCCACACCTTTTGGCCCTCTTACTATGACTGCTCAAGCAAATTCCACTGTTTTTGACTTTCCGAGCACCCCATTCACCCAAAATACTCGACCATCAAAATTTCGCTTCAAAAGCAAAATTGAGGGAGATAGCAGAAAGATGAGAACTACCCCGACAATTTGCAGCAGCTGTCGGCAAATTGAAGCCTCCAGATATGCCCCGACACCGGCTCCAACAGAATCTCAGCACACAGAATCCACGTCTGTATCTGCTACGCCTGACAACAAGCACAATAGTCCTGAAGAAATAAGATGGCAATGCCAAAAATCCAAAGGTACCACGATTTCTCTTTGCAGCTTCTGAGTCTTTACAAGTTCCCTCAAACTATGCAATGTACTGACCTCTTTACATTGCATATCCTTTAACACAGAGAAAGGTGGAGAACAGGTTGATCCAGTCAGTGAGATGGCTTCGCACGAACCACACTCATTTTTTCCAGTAATGATGCTTCCGGTGATTCCTGCCCGTACCCACAGTTTTGGTGCCTTCCCCTGGAACACGATTTCTGGACCCTGCACAGGCTTTTATGCTCCAACACTTCTTGGAAGTAACGTTCCTGTTCTTCTAGTTCCGTCTAACTCGATGGGGCTAAACTGCTTCCCTACTACAGTTTCTGGGGAAAATTATTTTCAGGCCATGCCAGCTGCTATTGATTCTCTTAGTGAGATGTTTCGTCGCCTATAAGCAAGCTTGATGACTTTGAAACATGAGTACATCGTTTCCTAGGTTCTTTTTGTTTTTCCTTTTCCTTTTATTTACCTTCTCTACTTTTTGTGCTTTCCCGTGGCAAGGATTGCATGGCTGTAGTAGGATAAGGGTTAGGTTTCTCTATATTGACATGGATTCAATGATTCCAAAGTCAGTCACAAATCTACATATTTATTTTACATGGTTGTGCATGTATCTAGCTTGACAAAGTCATTTGGTGAAGAAGTTTGGTTGTCTATGCAATAAACTTGTTTTTGCGTAAAAATAATCTTAAGTTCTTTTTTGGTTTCAATCAAAGGAAAAACAAGAAAGCAAACGAGACAATTGGCATTAGATAAGATGTCGAACCCTCTAAAGATATCCACAAGGTTATTCCAGGTAGTAGAGAGCCAAACCCAATAAAGTGATTCCTGAAGAATTTCAATTTGTTTTCACTATATTTACAGAAACACCAAAGAAGTATCAAGTAACATAACAGAGCATTGGCAAGGCCTTGATCAAAGCTCTCCAAACTATCGTAACTGAGAAACAGAGCTTTCTTTAAGGGAAGCACATCCTAGAATCGAGCCTGATGCAGTCTGACACATCGGTCTCGTCTCACGCCACTTCAAAGGGAACTTTGAAGGGTCGCAGACTCTCACCAAACCTAGTTTTACAATATCAAATCTCCCAGCTCCCGATTCTTCCCACTTGAGAACCTTCCCACCCAATACATACAGTTCATATCCAAGACCAGCAAAACCATAATCAAAGACTTCTAGTGGTCTTGAGTGGTCGGGAAGGAAAACAGAAGGAACTTTCCCCACATTATACCATTCCCCTTTGGCAGTATCCCTTGTCTTAATTAAGCTCTCACCCCAATCTACAATAGTGTATACACGATCATTTTTAATGACCTGTACAGCTACTTGCATTGCCCTAGAAAAAGGCCAATTATCCTCTACTGTATTCCACAATCCAGATAATGGCCAGAAAACTTCAGATGAATTTTGGTCCAAAAGTCCTACTTGATCATTGAGAACATGAAATTTGCCATTGTATGACAAGCCTATGCAATCCATTTGGGGATTGGGCATCGGTGGTAGTTCTTCCCATCTGCAATGTCCACGTTTGAGAAACTTAGGTTGTCTTGAAAAGAAGAGTTAAAAAAGATATTTGTTGGAACAATTTAAGAACAATTTCCAACCTATGATATCAGAGTTGAAGAAAGGAAAAGGAAAAGCTAAACAGGTAGGTGAGCATATTTCAGAACCAAAGTGGACATGGAGAACCATGTACTTTTGCCACTTTAGGTGCAAAGGGCATAAGACAATAGAAAGAAAGTACAAAGTGCAAGACTTGTGGTATGATACTGCGGTAGTAAACGTACTTGTTAGACAATGGATTGTAACATTCAGCAAGAGTGAGGCCTCTCGGACACGAAAGATTGCGACCCCCAGCTACATACACCTTTCCAGAGATGACGCAACACGCAAAGTGTGAACGCGGCGTTTGCATACTTGACACCATAGTCCATTCTTTTCTGAAAGGGTCGAATTGGTAGACCTCATTAGTTATGATAGGCTTCTGATGAGGGAATCCTGGATCACTTGAAGCATAAGCCCCACCAATGACAAGAAATCTATCACCGACACAAACACATGAAAAGCCAGTGTGCTTCCAGTCAGGATGCGTTCTTGGCATCTTTGGTATAGGATGCCATCTATCAGCTTCGGGATCATAAGCAACCCACTGGTTCTCGGAGCCCTCAGTGAGAACGAATAACCAATCCCCAGACCAGCCTTCCCGAGCCTTGAAGTTGGCGTATTCCATGCCTCGTGTAACCTCTCTCCACTTCTTCGAGACTGTTTCTAGCAGCCCATGGAACCCGTGAGACACTCTGGCCAAGCATCTCAAGGCCAGATCATCTGGCAATCCCGGAATTATAGGTTCGTGAGGAGAATCCCTAGATTCCAACATTCAGAAAATGGGAAATTAGAGGCAGACCAGAAGCATAAAAACAAGCACTGCACGGATCATAAAAAAGGCGAGGAATTAACGACCGATCAATCACTTGTAGACTTGCTATCACCGGGATGGAAAAGAAAAGGGGATTTCTAGTCATAGCAAAATAGCCTAGTGAGAAATTAGTGTTGTTTCTTTCCACAAATGAACCCAAACTAACAACTGGGTATCGCCCTTCCTGAGCAATCCTAAACTTTGAACATCTAAATCAAGCGAATCTTCCATAATTTCTCCTAATGTCAATCCAGCTCAATCGAAATCAGCCAAAGCCAAGCTCAAGTATCTTCGCATTATCATATACCTTGAACCCATACAATCCTTATACAGGAAGCAGAGTAGCACCATGATCCATAATCGAATGCACTGCAAACTTCAAACGAGCAAAACGAAATGAAGATTCGCGGAGCCACTTACATCGATTTGGTACCTCACCCAAGATCATACACTCGAACACCGCAGAACCCAACAAAACTAATCTGCGAACAACGGGCTCGAGCGGCGCTGCCGACCACCTGCAAAGCCGGAGAAAAAACCCGGAAGCACCCTCGTGAGAAAGCGGACCGACCGATCCGAGATACGTTGAGAGAGGAGAAGATTACGACGGCGAGAGGGAGGAGAAGGGGTCGGCGGCTCCCGAGGTCGCCGGGAGAGGAGGAGGCCTCGCCGTCCGATCCGATGGAGGGAAGGCCGAAGACGACGGTGGGTGCCGATGATGCGTCGCCGTGGTGAAGAAGTTCCTGAGCGAGCGAGCGAGCGAGCGACCAGACGACGGAGAAAATGCGATTCCGACACACATGTTATCCGTTCAGGTCTTGCTAAACTCACGGTGCCACGCGACCGCCGGGCCGGGTCGGGTATATCCGGGTCGAGTCGGGTCCTCTGGGGCTCGGGCTCTCTGCATGACGGGCCTTGTCCGAAACTTGAACGGGCTTCTTCTTGCTTCTCTTGAAAAAGCAGACTCGATGAAGGCCTTTTGACTCGCTAAACATTGGCCTTTCATGGTGTTCAAGATCATGCATGCTATGCTGTGAATGCTGCGTCTCCTCTTTCAGTTTTCCAATCTCTACCGATGGTGGGCCGGAAAGTTTCGTTTCCCGGGTGCGAAAAGGTCCGGGACGAGGAGATCCTCTCTCTCCTTGATTTTTCCGTGATGACTGTTTGAAGTTGTCTTCAGATTGTCGAATCAGGTTACGGAGCGAGGGATTTTGAGATAACCATAGTAAGCGCTCCGAAATTAAGCCTTAACCCGTTTGTGCTTTGCTGATGACGGTTTATATCGACAGAGGGAAAGCCTTTCGAGCTTTTTCTCTGATGTTGGACTGAGATTAAGTCTTGCTAGGACTGAGAAGGATGCCTTAGGTGATTGTGATGAATTGTGGAGGGAGATGGTCCTGAGAAGCGGCTTCAAGCTTGGTAATCTTCTAGGGAAGTATTCGGCATGTAGTACTCGGAAAGGCAAATCCATCTCGAGAGTGTGATCTTAAAAGGCCAACTTTGATGGGATGCGATGGATTGTACACGGCTTAAAAGATGTAGAAAGTGCTCATGAGCAGTCTTAGGGCGCATTTTGTTCGGCATTTGCAAAATCATGTAGAGTTCCAAAGTCTCTTGGACAAATGCAAATGATGTTTGGTAATATATTTGAAGGGTTTTGGGAAGATGCAATTGTATCTACAAAGCTCTCCAAAGACCTTTGGGGGAATGGAGGATTAGATGTACATTGAGAAGTAGCATTTCGAAAATGCTACTTATTAGTTTAATGAAAATATGTCAATTTGTCATTCCATCCCATCCTCATTTATCAAATATAATTCCATTTTTCCCCTTTATAAAGAAAATCTAAAGATACGCCGCTCCGCTCACTAGATCGATGCCTCACTCTCTCCTACCCTCGAGCTCTCTTGGCTTTGAGACGCTGCTTTCCTTGCGCTCCTCTTGTTGTCGAGCTCTCTTCCCTTAAGGCTCAAGCCCTCAGGCCGCGTCCCCTCGCCCTCGCTGCCCTCGAGCTCTCTTCCTCACGCCGCGTTTCGTCATATGCCTGCCGCCCTCGAGCTCTCTCCTAGCAGCATCGTTTTCTCAAAGATTCGTCTTGATGTTTCGTATAGGCCAAGTGTTTTTCGCCGATTAGTGAAACGGCATCTTCACACCATATGGAGATTGGTCGTGTGCCTGGAAGTCGATGTGAAGTACGAGTGATCGGTTTTCGGACAGGTGGGCGGGCTGTCGGCCTAGACTCGGGACTCGACACTGTGACTCCCAAAGTTCCAAATTTTCTGGAATCGGGAATCGAACCAGTCAATTTATGTAACATAAAAGTCGCGAAATTTCACTGCAAACAAAAAAATGTATGTCGGTCAAGCGATTATATTGCTGTCCCTCCATGTACAAGACGATAGTTGTCCTTGAACCGATCGGGAACAGGCCGGTTCGGTCCGATTAAGGTGTTTTTTTTTGGTCTCTTTACTCGAATCTTTCTTTCCGTATTCTGATTTTGGTCCTCCTCAAGCAACGCAAAGCAAAAGAGGCCAAAAAAAGCAAACGAGGCAGAAGGGGCGAAGAAACTTCTCGAATCCTCCCCCCATCTTTCTTCCTCGCGAAGCAACCGAACCATCGACTGCTCAAGCAAAAACCCATCGCCCCATCCTTCCTTCCTTCCTTCCGTCTGCAATCCCTCGGGCGCGCTCTCGGAATCGGGCCGCCCGGAACCGTCGCCGCCGGCGAGCTCGGAGTGGGGGGGCCCTTTCGACCGGCGAGGGAGAAGCGAGGGGGGGAAGTTTCCCCGATGGACGGGAGGGGGAGGTCGCGAGGGATGATCCCGATCCTCGCGCTCCACGCCCTGAGCGAGTACTACCGGCTGGAGCGGAAGCCCCCCGTCACCGCCGGCCTCCTCGCCGCCAACACGCTGGCGTACCTCCGCCCCGGCGCCCTCGATTCGATCCTGCCCCCCATCGACCGGGTCTGGTTCAATCCTCACCTCATTCTCAAGGTGCGTGCCCCCCCCCACCCTTCGATTCGTGGTGTTATTTGGCTCGGTCGGTTGTCATGCTGCTGTCGGCGCAATGCGTTGTTCGTCGCGACGAGTGCGAATTAGTTTCGTGTTTTGGATGCGATTGAACTGTGGCGAGAGCCGCCCCTCTTACGGTTCCGAAATCAATATCAAAATTTGATCTTGGTTTAACTTGACTGCAAAGTTCAATGGGTGCTATCTTGCATCCAAAGGTTTCTGATTTCTCAGTGGTGGGAACTCAATCTGTGGTGGTTGGGGTTTTTAGTTTCATGAAGTTTGGAGAATTCTCCCCTTTCGGATACGTAGTATGTGGCTCTGGGAGTTTCTAAGAATCTCGGGGGACGGATGGGCGATCCCTTGATGACTGTCGGAGCATATCTCACGCGTCGAGCGTAAGCCCTTTCAGTTTTTTTTGTGAATTAGGACATTTTGTATTGGGGTTAGGAAAAAATTTAAAGAGTTATGGCTAGTTAGGATCGGGGGTGTCGGCCACCGGGGACCATTGGTGGCCCTCTGTGTGTTGCTCTTTACAAGGAAATGCTGGTGCCAGATGAGTAGTCAGTATGTTGCATTTTACCTTCACTGTTGAAACGAAGCGTTGCTTTGAATGTTGCCTGCTCAAGTGCATGGTACATTTACTTGTTTTGATATTGCCTATCCAACTTTGTAAGGTTCTTGGTGTAACTTTAGGAACTGGTAAAACTCCTGCAATTGAAGATTAACGCATATGCATTTCGCATCCACGCTGGCTGTGTCATCTCCTTCGATGTGTCCCTCGTGTTCTTATGCGATGGCGTTTTTTCCTGGAAAATATGCGAAAATGTACGAATAGGGTTATAGCGAGTCCTTCATTTCTACTTGTCCCTTTCTCCTTTCTGTTCAGAAGTCTAGCATAAGCTAATAAAGACATGGCATGCAAGACGTGATAAGCCAGTGATGTTTTGCAATAAAATCAGGAGATCTCTACATTTTCTCGTGTATTCTTTTCTTTTAAGCGCATGGAGTATGTATCTGGTTTCAGAATCGTAATCATGGTTCTCTTTTTTTGCACAGTACAAGGACCCGAAGCGCTTCTTTTTATCAGCATTTTACCATGTGAATGAGTCTCACCTGGTATACAACATGCTGTCGTTATTATGGAAGGGAATTCAATTGGAAAGTTCGATGGGAAGCGCTGAATTTGCATCCATGGTTGCTACATTATTAGCAATGTCCCAAGGAATAACTCTGTTACTCGCGAAATCCCTTTTTGTTTTCTTCGATTATGAAAAGCCTTATTACTCAGAATATGCAGTTGGATTTTCTGGTGTCCTCTTCGCCATGAAAGTTGTCTTGAATTCACAGTCCGAGAACTACACATATGTACATGGGCTGGTAGTTCCTGCACGCTATGCAGCATGGGCTGAATTGGTTCTGATTCAAATGTTTGTGCCGGGCGTTTCATTTCTTGGACACCTTGGAGGGATACTTGCCGGCATTCTTTATCTGCGGCTAAGGGGTATGTACTCAGCTCCCGATCCACTGACTCTGGTTGTCAGAGGCGTCAGTGGTGTGCTGAGGTGGCCATTGAGGTTCATGCAGTCCTTGTTCGGGTTCCGCCGTCGTCGGATTTCCGGTAGAGGAACAGTGGGTAGAAATCAAAGAGGATGGACTGAGCCTGGTGTTTGGAGATGCGGTGCTTGTACCTACGATAATTCCACCCAGTTAAACGAATGTGAGATGTGTGGGACAAGTCGGAGTATTAGTAGGTCCCGTTCGCGTCCATCTTCCAGGTATTCTGAGGATCTTCCTCTGGACGAATTGCGCCGTCGAAGAGTCGAAAGGTTCGGGAGATGACACTGTCACTTGTAAAGGGCGGATGGCCCATAAACTTGTGAAAGGGGGTCGTAGGATCCATAGTATGATACACTTTTGCTGACACTGTAGAGTTCTGTGATCGTTGCACATAGATGTGTGCGCCTCGACAGTTTACATTTTTTGAATTAAATCTGACGGGTTGCATATGCAGTTGCTTTTCCGTGTTGTACACTGAAAAAGTATGATAATGACGTACATCTAGTTGCAGAGGAAGCTTCAATTGTTCGCGAGTTTCAGGATGAGATTGCTTTTTTTGGGTGATTATGAGCTGATAATTGATTTTCGGTGGAGCTTGGGCAAGCTGACTTTCCTGAAAAAGCCTGGCCAGCCCAATCTCGCCCACAACCCTAATCTCGGCTGGCTTGAGTGTGGTGATTTTAGGCTGAATGTTGGGCCCGGCCGACTCCGTCCGACCATTGTACCTGGAAAATTCGCGACCGACCATTGTACCTGGAAAATTCGCGAGGTCGTCATTCACATTGGCCTCAACTTGGGTGTGCCCATTAATCAAGTCTAGAGGCGAATGTCGTCGAATTGAAGCAGTTGAGATGAATGTGTCGCAGCCGGCTCCAAAAAGTATTAAACCGTTAGTTGATGAAACTATTTGCACTTTGTTTGGTAATTCAAAGTTAGAAGGCAGATTGATGTCGCGGAAAAGGAATGAAACGGAATGAAAAGGAGTGAATGGAAATTGTAATGTTAGTCCTCTAGTTTGGGTGTATATTGAAGGGAAGTAACTTGGAGGGCAATGAACAGAGTAATAGACTAAAGTAGGTACTGTCTCGTTCTGTCTTTTGGAATAAACTGAAGGGCTCGCTTTTATTTCTCCTGTAAGAGGGTTTGCCCCTCTCTTTGTTGCTTATAATCCTGCGAGAGATTAACCATGAAATTGTTAGACAGGTGTTACACACTAGTGATCCTAACAAAGATCAATCGTAAGGTACAACAAAATGCATTTATGAAGCCTACCCTTTGTACGGAATTCGTTGTGGGTGCCAACACCTTGGGGAACACGCGATTGACCGAATCTATTAGACCACAAACTCACGCCTATGATCTCGCGATAATACGCCACGGGCATCTATCAGATCGATCGGCCGATACCATAAATAGGAATCCAAAGAAGAAGAAGAGAACAGCACGCGTTCTCGTGAATTAGCAAAAACTTCTGAGCCAAAAAGAAAAGGCGCAATAATTCAACAATGGCTACTTAAAGGAGTCTCGTTGTCCTCCTCTTCTTTGTTTTCTTCCCTACTTTTCACCAGAAATTCATCCTGCTCGGGTGCAGCCATAGTTTGAACACGGGAAAGTGAAGTCCATGACGGATTGAACAGCAAACATTTGTCTCTTATACTAAAAACAGAAGCCTTTCACGAGTTGAGGTTGTGACCGGTTGGTCTGTACTGTGAATCGATGATATTTTTGCATGTCTCCTAATGTCGAAAGAGTTGCAATGAAATCGAACTCAGGAAAACACATCTAAGGGTGGCCATTCAGCGCGTGCGGCTGCCCAAGTGCTGGAATAGGAAGGCCTTTGAGGATAAGGCATTTCTCAGAGCTTGGCTCAATTCCTTGCATAATTCCACAAACCAAGGGAAGGCTCAATTAAAAGTTGAGTTAGTTAATCGCTAGCTGACGGTAAGCCGAACCAGCTCGGACCTGATTACAGTTCCTAATGTGCACTCGACATGTACCGACATCGTCAAGGTGCATTCGTGATTGTGCCGCCGAAACAAGAAATTTAATATTCGATGACTGGTCGGGGATAAGATGTTAGGATTAGGCAACATGTCTCGACAGCGTTAAGGTGCACTTAGTGATTGTGCCGCAAGACCAACAAATCTAACATGTGATGACCAGTCGGGGATAAGATGAAGATGTTTGGGATTAGGCACACAAACATAATAAAAATAGAGAGTGAATGTAAGAAAGAGAAATCAAGACACAAGTTTTATCCTGGTTTACTGTTAAACCAGGCTACATCCAGCAATGGATCCCACTATAATTAGCACATCTCATTTCTCTGTAACAATTCTTAATTTACAAGAAAAAGAGATTATATATAAGTGATAACTATTTATAGGCCCAAACCCAAACTATCAATAAAATACTAACTCAAACTATAAAAGCTCTCTGGCGGTCCAGGGGTGCTACTCCCTAAGACTCCTGCTAAGGCGATCCTCTAGATCCCCGTCGGCTTATCGGGAAGCACTAGCGGGACCCCGTACCTTTTTATTGATGGACAATATGAACCACACCCCAATATAAAAATGGTTAATTCATGATGTGGCACACGGGGCAATACAAGGGCCATCTTGTATGTGCATTAATAAGGGCTGGTGAGGACATGAAGTCGTGACAACCTCAGAAAATGTCAAAACCCCACATTGCATGTGTAATGGAGAACGGCGCGCGCGAGAGTTCCCATAGTCCTAGAAATCGAGTACCCATTTAGGGTTAGCTATAAGGAGAGCAAATCCTATAGATTTTTTCCCTTTACCCTACATTCTTTTGGCCTAACGTAGGAATCTATCACAGCTCTTTCGCACCTTTGAACAGTTTCCGTGATGGAAGTGTTTATTGACTACCCATCAAGAACAATAAGATGCAACTTGGAAATCTTGAAAATTTTAATTTTAAGCTTCTAGAATAAAGCATTGCCCACACAACTTTTAACACGGGAATGTCTCCTAAACTCGTATATTTAGTTTATGAGTGTTTGAACTTTCCTGCTTGACTAATTCTCATAGATACACATAAGTCGCCTCGTCACATGCATTAGGCAAAGTCCTGGCCATAAGGTGACTAGCGTGACCTAGGTTACTGGGACGAGAGTTATTGTGATTTGAATACAAGATGTACCGTATTCAATTTCAGTTGTGTCATTCTATAGAGTAAAATTCTGAAGAAACTTTAATACAGTCAAACTATACATGTATATAAAGTTCAAAAAGTAGGAGTACATGTAAGTGCTAACTGGGTGGAGAGTATTTCTCCCAAATGGTGCTCCCCTTGATCTCTCGACAAATCTCAGGCTGTTAATTAAATTCTCATTTACATAAGTTAATGGTTAAGGTATATTGAGGCACCGAACGAAATAATGTGTAGTGAAGAGATTCCACGTCCGCACTCAACTTCTGCCCGAGCGGTAGCCAGATATTATCCTTTTTCCGGGTATTCAAATCCTTTAACACATGCAACCTCTCTTTGTAGATGTCAACTCATTTCAATATATGCTTTTCTTTCTTTTTTTCGCTTTGTTCAAAGACATGTACTTAGGAAACTTGAAGGGATCGGATTGTGTGAAGATGTAATTTTCATGACAACGTTGTATTTGGCAGGCTGCCAACAATAGGCAAATAGCAACCAAACATGTAACTTTCTCGACGTCGGACACCCAAACTCCGTTTCTCATTTGGTACTGGCTAAGAACAAAGAATCACCACGAACCTTAAACAACACTGGCCTAACACTAGCACCATAACCTCTGCGCCTATATAAGCATCTCCATCAGCAACAATCTAAACTCAAGTTCTTTGTAGCGTTGAGCCATTCGTTTTAAGGCTTCGAAGAGCTTCCTCAAACACCCCCCTCAAAAAGAAAAAAAAAAAGAAGGAAAGAATTTTTATTTATAATTCTCTAAAATACTTCTGTCCAAGATCATATGGCGTTCTCGCATGCTCAGCAGCTGGCTTTCATATTTGGTCTCTTAGGTACACAACTTCATTCGTGATGAGCAGCACTCTTGTCAATCTTCATTAGGTTGAATTGATAAGTTAGGGAAACGTTTCACGTATGACACCGATTGCATGACACACGTCCATGTATATTGATGATCTGGGTGAGTGATATTTCATATGTTCTGTCTTGTATGATTATCCCGATCCTATGACGAAAAATTTATGTTGTCCCGTCAAAGAATAAGACGAGTCCATTGTACTAGAGTTGAATATATGGTGAGCATGGTCTCATGCGGGCTGACAAGATCCGATGGATATGATCGAATTCAAAACATAAGAATCATTTTTAACATCTCTTTTTTATTATTCGAGTTCTACGAACGATGCTAACATTTCTCGTCTCCTTTTCTGTTGAATCTATGAAGGCAACATCGTGTCCTTTTTGGTATTCTTGGCACCAATGTAAGATCTCCTCCAACTCTTCATTTGGGTCCCTTCTGTCATTTGACCATAACAAGGTATCTTAGTATGAATTTGGGAATTTTTCCTACATTTTTGTTTTTGGCAGCCCGACATTTTACACAATCCACAAGAAGAAGTCGTCGGATGGGTATCAGTCGATCCCATATGTGGTGGCACTTTCGAGCGCATCTTTGCTCTTGTACTATGGAGTCCTCAAGACCAATGCCACTATGATCATCAGCATCAATGCCATTGGCATCGTCATTGAACTGGCCTATCTTCTTCTCTTCTTGATCTATGCCTCCACCAAAGAGAAGGTCTCTCTCTCTCTCTCTCTCTCTCTCTCTCTCTCTCTCTCTCTCTTACTGCTTTTGCGCTTTAAACTGTAGCAAACTATTGTCCCTTTGTTACGTTACCCAAGTGTTGTTCATTAGCTTGCGAAGTTCGAGTGTTAGAGCAGATTATGACAGGCTCTGAAAGCTGGATCTAGAGGGAAAAACTATTGTCTCAATTTGTTCTCTCTCTTGTTATTACAAGCTAGAATAGTGGTTATGCACTCGTTTTTGGCGTGAAGTTTGTGTTTTCACGTATTCGTTGAATAACTAAAGCTTTCTAGCATCCTCACATGTTAGCCCTTCTTGAATATATATGTATTTCCTACATATAAGAAGATATGCAAAAACAAAAAAGGGAAACAATTCTTCCGAAATTTATCCGACGAGGAATAAAAAGGAAAAACTTCTACAAAATTATAACTTTTCTCCAATCACAACTAAATCTGAAGAAAATTTGTGTAAATAATCAATCTGAGCAGATGTACACGGCGAAGTTGCTGCTGGTGTTCAATATAGGAGGTTTCGGAGTGATGATGGGACTGACCATCTTTCTTCTCAAGGGTCGGCAGCGAATCAATGCTGTCGGATGGATCTGCGCGGCCTTCAATCTCGCCGTGTTTGCCGCGCCTTTGAGCATCATGGTATTCCTTCATTTTATGCAATAATTTTAGAGATGCGGCACTTTGCACCTGCTACAACTACAAAACCAGTCCAAAACAAGAGTTTCAATTTTGAGTGTGTAATCTTGTGTTCTGTGCAGAGGAGGGTGATAAAGACAAAAAGTGTGGAGTTCATGCCATTCACTCTGTCCTTCTTCCTGACCCTCTGTGCTACCACCTGGTTCTTCTACGGACTCTTCGTCAAGGACATGTTCATTGCTGTAAGTACCATTTAACTCTCTCAATCATTCAACTCTAATGCTTTCCATTGTACATGCAACTTTATAGCGATGTCCTGTACATGGGGCGATTTGTATAGACCTGACTTTGATTTACAAACTTACACGGATGCACCAGCAAACCTTGCACCATGAATGTGAATCTTTTTCTGCGCGGTCATAGTTCCTGAGATTTCTAGTGAACATGTTAAGTTGAATTCTTGTATTTCTTACTTCGACCGTGCCCATTTAAGCATAAACAAATAAACAATGAATAGGCTAAACCTAGACTCGGAAACATGATACTTGAATCCTGTTTATCTATTTTATGATTGACCTTATGTATCAGTCTGTCATCGGAGTCTATCCATTACTTTAGTATTAAATTTCAAACGCATACAACACCTCTATCCCTCTCATATACTTTTTGCTGACTTTGAAATTAAAATGGGGGTTCAATTGGGTATTTCAGCTACCAAATACACTGGGATTCTTGCTTGGCATCACTCAAATGATCCTCTACATGACATACAAAAATGGGAACAAGAAAATGGCAGAGACAAATGAGAGGAACAATCAACAAGCAGTGTCTCTAGACATGAAGATGCTGACTTCCATCCACAGTGCGGAGCTGTGTCCAACTTCACAGCACCAACCACAATTCACAGAAATGGATAATTTTCCCACTGGCAAACAAGTTGAACCAAACAACAACGTTTGATGAATCCTCTTCTCTCTAACAAGTGATAAGCAATCAAATAACCACCCAGCAAGTTGGGGTCTTAGAAACTATGGAGTGTGACATTCTCTTGCATTTTATTTGTATTTGATTTCATTAAGGGGGATAATGTTACTTCGTCTGAGAGGAGATAGATGGCTGCATAATGACAGCAAAGGGGATGACAGGATTCATATGGCTGATACCATCATCGAAGGAGAAAGATATCATCCATAATCAGTACTCGAAACTTCTACTGTATTCGACATTTTATTGAAGCAATGGATTTGACGAAAATAATCTTCCTGTCGACACATTTTCCTTTCTGGATCTCCCTTATCCCTTCGATCGGATGCTTCAAGTATGCCTTTACTGACCATATATTCTGATCACAGACAGTTGATGCGCTTATATGATATCACTTCATCTCCGATGATGAGGAGATCTCAAGTTATCTGACTTTGAGAATGATCTGAAGAACCAATGTCGTAGAGAGAGATTGGACCGATCTCTTATACTTCCCGAGTAGCTTATGGAAACTACGATGTCCGAATACACTAACCTTTTTAAGCAATTAAAGAAATGCTATGCATAAAGCCAAAGGAGAGTTTTCTTTGCATTATTGAGCATCTAGAGAACGGTGAACAGGAATAACTCTGGCTACTAACAATCTGTACTTGGCACTTATTCCCTCTGAGCATAACAGGAGATATATTCTATGGAGACTGCTCTATCTTCAACCAACAAAACAGACCATCTTTGCCGATGTTGATGTTCTATACACTTCATGGATAATTAGTAAGCTTATGTTTCTACCCTATCAATTCCACTCATCCTTGCTCTCTGGGCTGAACTCACCTTGAGAAATCATATTGATGAACGTATTTGTCGCCTGACCACCAGCACAAGATGTTTTCTTTGCAGCTCCTGCAATAGCAGGTTGTAACGAGATAATTGGCATGCTAGCTCTCTCTTGAATCATCAATGCATTAAGCATTTGTGAACATAATTCAGACATTGTGAGAACAAGCGGTTACAAAGTTATTTTAGGAGGTCATGGACCGATATTGTACCAAGAGGAAGGACTAATACATACGGATGGTCTATTCTCAAACAAGACAACCGATCTGTCTAACTCCGGCTTCTGCAACCAGCACAGCTTGAGCTGATTTATTTACTCCATCATCTGTCTCCTGGCTAAAAAGAGGATAAAGAAAAAGGAAGATTATCAGCACCTGACCCACGTCATGTTAATGTTGGAAATTGTGATCCATTTTCTCTAAACTAAATATAGAAACTACTAGTTGAATCTTGAAGACTCACGTGAATACAAGCAAAGAGAAGTCAAGAAGAATCCAAAAAGAAAAAAAAAATCTAGTCCTTGGCTGGCAAAGGAAGTGTGTAGAGAGCACTAGAGCTTGTAATACAATAATCTCCAACTTGCAAAAAAATATCTGCACTATGTTGATGGAATTGCTCTATATATAGAGTTTGTACTCGTTCATGTAATGGTGTGGGGTTTAACCCTCTACCGAGTGGGGGGAGTGAGCTCAAGAATACACATTCTTAGCTCTTCCACCAATACTCCTCCATCAACTATATATGTGACATTCCGAAATTCCACCAATTGGAATTTATTGAATAATTGAGTTTTATGAGATGTGCTCGCAGTAAATTCTCGCCCGGAACTGATCATTCCTGGGAATGCTAACCATTAGGGAAAGGCTAATAGGGGAATTAAATTCGCGCGACTAGAGAAAATTCGATCGTGAATGGATTTCGACCATTAAATCGCGTAAGTGATATTTTGAGCCACTGTTGGCCGATCCAAGGATAGTTAGGGATCAGTTCGCCACTGTTCTAGTAGTGGATCGCGGGTGATTCCGTTGGACCACGAAGCGACTTGACGAATGATTCCAAAATTATACCGAACGATCGTACCCCTCGGATCAAGTGATTGATCTTTGCGATTTTAATGACAACCGAGGTCGTCACGTACCGAACGGACTTGCACGTGACTCGATTTAATATCAGTCATGAGTCGATTTCACGAATTTCCCCAGCAAGCCGCCCGTTAGCTCGAGAAACGCTCGAGTTGCGTTTAATAGAATTTAATTATTGAAATTTTGCCTAAATTGGACACCGGAAAATTAGGAAGTCATGACGGAACGCCAGGACGACGTTGCACGTGACACGTGTGAATTTTTGGTGCGCTTAAATCCTTCGGAAAAATTCGATTTGGGCAAGAAACGGAGAATTGGACCATTTTACCCTTAAGTATTAAAGAAAAGGTAATTTTAGGGTCAAGGGGCGTTTTGGTCATTTGTGCCCTAGATATTTTGGGTCAAAGCTTGAAGAAAAAGCTAGACCATTCTTTCTCTCCCCTCATTTCTTCTCTCTCCCCCATCGTGAAATTTCCCCCTTTCCACCGTGAGACTTCTCCCTCTCCACCGATCACTCTCCCTCTCCCTCCGCCGATCACCACCGCGCCCCAAGCCGCCATCCGTACGTCCGCCGGACCGCCGCCGCGCCCAAGCCGCCGTCCTCACCGCCTCATCCCCACCCAACCGTGACACTCTCTCTCTCTTTCCATCTCTGGCTGTGGGCCCTCTTAGCCGCCGTGGACACCGCCGCAAGCCACGGCTCGCCGATCGTCGCCGATTGTCGCCGCCGCCGCAAGCCTTCGTCGGATTTCAAGTTTTACCGCCGCTTTTGTTCTAGCCGAGAGAGTCTAGAACGAGGTAAGTTGTGATCTAAACCCTCGCCTAGTAGATCGGGTTGTTTCGGGTTTAGATAGACGCGGGTTGTTGTGATTTTGCGGGCTAAGTTGAATTACGGGCCCTAGGTTTGAATTTCGAGGATTTCGGTGGAAAATTTGGGGCCGATCAATGCTGTGAATTGGGGTTTAGTGTGCTGTGGTGTGCTATTGGGTATGAGAATGGTCCCGTTGAGTCCGGCTCGGAGTTTTATGTAAGTATCGTGAAGAGTCGGAAGTGTGATTTTATGGTTTGAGTGCAGAAATTACTGTTCACGAGTTGTGCAGAAATTACTGTTCACGAGCTGTGGGTGTACTGTTTACTGTGCTGTGGTGAGTCGTTTGACGCGTAATTGGTGCCGTTAGGTCCGTCTTGGAATTTTATGAAAATCCCGTGAAGGGCTGAAAATGATTTGAAAGCATTTGAACAAAGAAAAATACTGTTTTACGCGAGAATGTGTTTTTGTGTGAAAATGGTGATGTGGTGAAGTGTGGGGTGCAAGTGTGCACGGAATTTGAGGCAATGGCATGAGAAAGTGAGTTGGGATCGGGCCGAGTATCATAAGCTCGGGCAACGATTATGTAGGTCTGTTGCATTTGGCACGGGCTGAGGCTCGAAAGAGCATGATTGAGTTCGGTTCGAGGCACGATCAGCTCGGGTGAGACCGGGATTGGACCGAGGCATTATAAGCTCGGGTTCCGATCATGTAGGCCTGTCGCATTTGGTGCGGGCTGAGTATTGGTCGCAGTGTACCTGAGGCGTGTACGTTTACGCGGGTCACTAGCGAGTGATGTGGGAAGTAATGAGTGGTCGCAGTGTACCTGAGGCGTGTACGTTTACGCTGGTCACTGGCGAGTGATGTGGGAAGTAATGAGTGGTCGCAGTGTACCTGAGGCGTGTACGTTTACGCGGGTCACTGGCGAGTGATGTGGGAAGTAATGAGTGATCGCAGTGTACCTGAGGCGTGTAGGTTTACGCGGGTCACTGGCGAGTATTATGGGAAAGGAGAATTGAGAATGGAAAGAATGAGAAAGTGGAGGTGGAATGGGCGTATGTTGAGTGGATCGAAATCGTGTTATGTTCGTTGGTGAATGATTTGTGGAAAATTTGTATGTTGTGTCTTGTGTTTTCAAAATAAATTTTTATAGTGGACTAATGTGCAGGCTGCGTGTGTCGAGAGTCCAGGTATGTGTATTCGTGTGTTTTGTGGTGGATTGATTGGTTATGAGCTTATCTATGTCTGGAATAACGTGATAGCCTAGGTAGGATTTAGGTTACAACTTATTGAGAAGTGTCTCATGGTTGTATAAACCAAACCATTTCAGATCCCCCGCCTGAGCGATGAATATTCCGCCGCCGCCACCAGAACGTTTCGGAGCCCTCAGTAGATGGGACGATACAAGGGGATTCCGACTCAGAGGACGAAGAATCGGATTCAGAATGGACGCCTAGTAAGGGGCGTAGGAAGTAATATCCGTTTAGAGGATGGGTTTTTGTGAGTACCATTTTTGGATGGAAAGTTGATCGGTCATAGACCCTTTTTGTTACTTGACCGTAGTAGTGTGGCGGGCACTTGTTTATATGGTGGCGTGTAAGTGTTGGAGTGGCTTTGTAATTGTAAATATTTTGGTATAAGTTTGGAAATGAGATATGGATATGTATATTCTCCCTTAATACTTTCCCCAGTTTTTATATTGTCCGGGATTAATTGTAATATCCGCTGTGGTTGTAAATCTCTGATGAGAATTTGAGGTCGGCGACATTCCTGGGACGTCGCACTCATCGACCAGGTAAGGGGCGTCACGTGCCCATTAGGGTTCGGGGCGTGACATCCCCGTTTGAATTGGTATCAGAGCACGGTCAGCTCGATCTAAGATTGGTCGAATTGGAGTGATAAGGAACAGAGATTTGGGGTAGGAATTTTGGGAGACTTTAGTGAGCCATAGATATACATAGTGCTACACGTATTCCAGAGTATCTGTTATGATTGATTGTTTGAATTGAATGTTGTGTTGAGTTGAGTGCCTGCTGAGTGAATTCCTGTGTTAATTCACTGTTTAGAACTAGATTGATCTAGTTGGTTTAGATCGCTAATTCCTGAGTGGAATTACGGCAGGTAGTAGAGTGGTAGAATTGAGACGATGAGTAGTGAAGGAAGAGGCGTAGGAAGAGTCCCAAGAAGGGGCGCAGGAAGAGGAACGAGAGGTCGAGGTCGTTCTCGAGCTAGGACTGTCGAGGACCTCGGAATGGGTGCTAGAGCAGTAGAGAATCCTAGAGTGGATATTGGTGCTGCAGTGGACCCTGGAGTGGAAGTTAGACCCGTTGAGGATCCTCGAATGGAAGTCATTATGAGGACGTTGGAACGAATTGGAAATCTGTTAGAACAGCAGACTCAGGAAAGAGGTTCTCCGATTGCCCAAGTTGCCGAGGCCGCCGAGGCTACTGTTGTTGCTAATGATGATGAGCATCAAGGGCAGGGACAAGCGGTTGTTAATAGACCTATGCACCAACTGGTAGAGCAGTTTATAAAGCTGAAACCGCCTAAGTTTTCTGG